GGAGCTTCTGCTCAGGGTTTATCCCGAGAGCTCCACAGGTATGGGTCACCGTCTGGGGTGTTGGGCTATGCACGCACAGGTGTGTGTCTGATCTGGGAGCAACAGGGGGACTGGACAGTGTGACAGTGAGGACGGCCGGGCGGGGCTGTGATGCCTCCGGGCCGGCTACCCCTCACTGTCTTTGCAGTAGTCAACGGATGTAATGGACTAGAGGATGGCAGACACCCACTCCATCTCTATGACCTGGGGCATGACCCCATAGGGCTGTCCAGGAGCAGGAGCTGAGTATTGCCGGGGAAGGCCTCTGACATCACCCAGACCACTGTCTGTGGTAGTCGTTCAGTGGATTGTGCTCCAGGAGCCGGAGCCCATGGAGGCCAACCCCGAGGCTGAGAAGCCTGGGGCAGGGTGCCTGTGGGTGTGTGGGGAAGGGTCGGGGCTGGCCCCACAGCGAGGAGCCCACAGAACCTGGTGTGGGGCCTGAAGCAAAGACTGGGCTCAGAGCGCCCAGTGGGTGGACTGCAGTCTGGGAGACGTCCCGGGGAGGTCTCCTTCCTACCTGGGGCATCTCTGGGAGACTCTGGGCTGTGCACGCACAGGTGTGTGTCTGATCTGGGAGCAGCAAGGGGACTGACTGGGCAGGGGGACAGTGAGGTTGGCTGGGCAGGGTTTGATGCGTCCGGGCCGGCTACCTGTTCCTGTCTTTGCAGAAGTCAATGGGTGAAACCAGCTGGAGGTTGGCGGATACCCGTTCCATATCCATGACCTAGGGTGTGACCCCACAGGGTTCCCCAGAAATAGGTGCTGGGGATTGCCGGGAAGGCCTCCAACATCACCCAGACCACTGTCCGCGGTAGTCGTTTACTGGATTGTGCTGCAGGAGCCGGAGCCCATGGAGGCTGAGCCTCAGGTGAGAAGACCGGGGCTGGGTGCCTGTGGGTGTGTGGGGAAGGGTCGGGGCTGGCCCCACAGGGAGGAGCCCCAGAGGATGGTGTGGGGCCTGGAGCAAAGACTGGGCTCAGAGCGCCCAGCGGGTGGACTGCAGTCGGGGAGACGTCCCGGGGAGGGCTCCTTCCTGGCTGCGGCTTCTCTGGGAGGCTCTGGGCTGTGCACGCACAGGTGTGTGTCTGATCTGGGAGCAGCAGGGGGCTGGGCAGGGGGACAGTGAGGACGTCGGGCAGGGCTGTGAGGCCTCCGAGCTGAGTGACAGTTCCTGTGTTTGCAGAGCCCCGTGGAAGCTGGCCTGGATTCTGTCCCTGCACCTGGCTCCTGACACATGCTAGAGATGCAGATGGAGTCGCTCTAGCTCCTCAGATGGTGGAGCAGCTGAGAAAGGAGAAGAAAAGCTCACCCCCGTGCCTGCTCTCCGTGGGCCTTTGCAAGACAGAGCCCAGCCCAGGGCCTCCCAGAGAAGCCGCAGCCAGGAAGGAGCCCTCCCCGGGACGTCTCCCCGACTTCCGTCCACCCGCTTGGTGCCCAGTCTTTGCTCCTGCCCCCACACCAGCCTCTGGGGCTCCTCCCTGTGGGGCCAGCCCTGACCCTTCCCCTCACACCCACAGGCACCCACCTCCGGTCTTCTCATCCTCAGGGTCAGCCTGCGTCGGCTCTGCGTGCTCCAACTGGGCCATCAGAAGGTGGGCATGGCGCTCCAGGTCAGAACCGGGCATGTTGAGCTGCACATGGGCCACCAGCTGCTTGAGGCAGGGAACGTCCGGGCTGACAGAAGTCCTCTGAGTACTGGTCCAGCCAGGTGCCCAGAATGGAGGAGATGGCCCTGGAGGTAGGCGGGCAGGAAGCAAAGTCAGTGGCCTGGCCTGCCCTTCCACACAGCCCCCTGGGGCAGCCCTGGGGAATCTCCAACCAGAGGCCAGTCCCACCCAGCCCACCCGCACCGGCCATCCAGGCAGGGGCAGGTGTGGCCAGCAGGTGCGGGGGCCAGCAGCCTCCACAGGAGGGAGCTCTCCATCACTGGTGTGAGCACCCCTGCCTTCCTCAGGGGAGCCTGCCCCAATCCACTGTCTGTCTGGGGTCCCTCCTGCTGCACTGGAAACTCCAGGAGGGCGGGGGGTGCAGTGTCTGCTCTGTCCCGGCCCTGGGGCACACAGAGGAGCTGCAGCAGTCCGTGAGGGAGGAGGGAACGGGCAGTGTCCCTCGGCCCAGCCCGCCTGTGCTCTCACGGCCCCTTGGCCCCCAGCCCCTGCTCCGACGGCTGCCTGACGCCCTTGCAGGCCCGTGGGGTCTCCTACACCAACACTATTCTCGGGGATGTCTGCCCGGCCTGTCCAGGCCCCACATGCAGCTGGCCTGGGGGACCCAGTGTGAGCTGGTGGCACCCGGATTGGGTCAGAGCAGGCGTGGCCCCCAGCCTCCCCTCCGCTCCCTAGGCCCCGGGCCCACAGCCTCAGCTGTCTCACTCCTGTCCTGCAGGAGAGGCCCCCACACCGCTGCCCTCCAGCAGCCATGACGGACGCGGCGGAACCAGGGCTCTGCCCAGCACCCCCAGCCCCGCCAAAGCCCCAAATGTCCCCCACCTTGGAGACAGGGGCTCTTTTTCTTCCTAGGGCCCGTCATCCTTCGGACAATGAGAGCAGAGGGATCCCCATCTAGAGGAGGCCGGCAGGGCGTCCCACGCAACGTCCTGTGCCCATCTCTGCTTTGTCGTCTAGGGTTACCGGTGGACCTCCACCTAGAACAGAGGCCCACGGGGCAGGGTGATTTGTCTGCCCTGTTCCCTGAATTATGCCAAATGTCTAGAAGGGGCTTCCTGTCCATGTGTGTCTGTGTGTGTCTGTGTGTTAGTGTGTGTGGTGGAGTGTGTGTGTGATTTGTGTGCGTGATATGTGTGTGTCTGGTGTGTGTGAAGGGAGCAGCCCAGACTCCTTGGGTTGACATTATGGCCAGGTAAGGGGCACAGCCGTCGTGGCACCCCGGGGGGTCAGTGACCTGGATGGCTTTGGGGCAGGAGACCCTCCTGGCCCTCCCCGAGCCCAGGCCTGGAGAGCCGTCGTCCCCACACTCCCCCTGAGCCTGCACCAGCCCTTACTGGCTGCCTGCTGCACGGGCCCCACACTGGGCAGCCGTAGAGGGAGGTTCCTGTTGACCAGCTTCTCCCCAATTTCTTCCATGGGACTCTGCAAAGACAGTGAGCAGCGCCCGGCCTGGAGGCATCACAGCCCAGCCCCGCCGTCCTCACTGTCGCCCTGCGCAGTCCCCCTGCTGCTCCCAGATCAGACACAGCCCCGTGCGGGCACAGCCCTGCACCTGGGATGCAGTGACTTTCCTGAGACCACATCCTCGGGACATCGGGGTACAGCAGGATCGGAGCATCTCCAGCCAAGTGAACTGTTTGGAAGGGGGCTGTCTCTAGAATGCGGGTGCCTATGACAGCCCTTGGGCATCT